AGTAAAATATTAGTTTATGAAGTTTTTGGTCCCTTGATGAGTTAGATTAGAATAAAATTGCTAATAGATCTTAATGATCAGATTGTAATAATCATAAATGTTTCTTTATTTGGAGCATTTATTAAAAAAAAAACTATTTGTTTCAGATAAGTGCATTTAAAGGAATTTGTGGAAATTAAGCGATTTTATGAAATAATGTTTAAAAATTAATTATTTGTTTGTTTAAGAATCAATGTTTGAGTTTTGTGTATTTTAAATAAACATGTATGTATGTATAAATGTCTATTTTAGAAAAAAAAGCTAGAATAGATTTCAGAAATATTACTATTTATTATTTCTAAAAGATTTCAAATTTTTATTTCAGAAATATTACTGTGCAATATTATATTTAGAGGACATTTTTACGTTTCACGTACATTTCAGAAATGTTTCTGGGATGTTTCGTAATATTTATGCAACATTGCAAATGTTTCAATGTAACATTGTTGAAATATTTCCGAAATGTATTTGTGCTGTATGGGATATAGATATGCTAAGCCGATCCTGTATTTCCAGTTTTCACTTTTCAATTATTAAACGCTTTTAAAATACAGACGTTAGACTTTTAAAACAGATCAATTGTCGTTCTTAGTGACTTTTACGATTACTTAAGTATGAGTTCTGTATAATAAATCAGTTACATTATTTTAGCGTTACTACTGAAGCCATTAATTTTACTTTTATCCAACTGATGACATCAATTTACGTGGGATACGGATATTGTTGAAGAAAAAAACGGTGGAAACACACCGCCTCCAAATCGATCGAGCGGATCCTACCATCTGAAGCTATCAAACTCTCTCAACCGCTCAAGTGAGAAAACCTCACAAGAAATAAATGGTAGAACAAAAGAAAGGGCTGAAGGGAGTAGAGAATAGGAGTACCACTGCTTCACCTCCCTCATCCTCCTCTCACAAACTACCGGCGAGGGAATCTCCCCTTAAAAAAGAGCCTAAAAGAATACCTCTTTTGCCCCAGCTAGGACAACCTGGTGGAAGGAATGACCCACTGAGACAAGGACTCAGTAGAGCAGGATCAGGTGTATTCAAGTGTATTCACTGCCTATCAGGGCTTGACAAGGCGAAAAATAAAACTGTTGAGCTCAGATCCCAGGGAAAGGACAAATATTTTCAAAGATCTTAAAAGAAAGTAGAAAGGGAGCTAGACCACACCATTGCAAAGAACGGACAAATAGAGGAAAATGACCATCGCCTCCGACTGTTATGCAACTCTAGTCAAGACGAAACGGATCGCGATCCTACCTAAGACTATCTTCAGTGTGGACGATCAAACCTTTTTGGTAAAATCCATAGTTTTCCGGATGGGAGCACAAGTTTCAGTAAGAAGGCATTAATTTCTGGCCATGTATGATACTACTCATCGACTGTGAAACTCCGCAGTCAGCAGAATGGCTCGAGGTGGAACGTAGTTGAGCTGGAAGTATGTACGAGGGACGGCATCCCGAAAGCACATACTGCCGACTTATCAGGTGTTCGGGCAGTCAGATGGAGCGATAGCGGTCGCGCTCCGAGTTCGCAGATACGGAATGTTTACACGAAACATGGCTACGAAAATTTCCACGTTCCAGCCCAGACAGTGTTTGTTATCTTAGCAAGCGTTGCCAATTTACCACATCGTGGTCGTACTGTCAAAAAAACTCTGCATTTTTATTTTTAACCTATAGTTACGCCTTTAAATGAAATGATTATCGCTACAGATAATCTTGATTATTCAAATTATCTGCTACTTATTTATGTGGTCAATTGTTTCATTTTGTTATACCTCAATACTTTGATAACGCACCAATTACAATAAAAAAGGCTTTTGTGTTGCTAGAGTGACAAGTAACATTTAATTTTAATCCATATGCGTGTTTTTTTTTAGTTATGTAAAATTATTTATTTGCTGTTACTCCTTACTTTTAATTAAATAGTTTCAGTTTTGTTTTTATTTGGAAAATGTTTTACTTAATATATCGAGTGATTCACAACAATTTCAAAAGGAGGCAGGCCTTGAAAAATTTAAAACAATTCTTTTCTTCTTCTTTTTGAGTGTCATTTTAGATTTCATTCAGAGTCGTGCGTAGTTATCAAGGACATGACTATTTTATCTGTCTTTATCGATCTTGTCCTACTTTAGAAACATTTTTTTGTTGATCTCTATATATTCTTTATTGTGTTCATTTAATTTAAATGTTATTCAATTTATGTGTCATCAACTTTTCCTTTTCTCTCTAAATTAAAAACTTGAGTTTTAAAAATTATAAAAACGGATTTGTAAATATAGGCAACCATCATTACACACTGGTGTATTCTATGTCGCCTGTCAAATTCAAGAGTAATGCATTTAAAAGTTTCTGAACTTGAATAACTCAATTCAATTACTTAAGATAGAGATTCGCGGTATGTTATTTATCATTAAATAAAATATGTTAATAAATATACCGCCAGAAGCGACGTAAGGCGTGGGCGACGTGGGCAATCGCCTAGAGCCTCTCGGTCCTAAGGGCCTCGCGTCTCGAAGGTTTATGCAGCTTTTCTTTATCTCTTGAAGATATTTAGCTAGACGTGACCGCTAGGGTCATAATTTAAATGTTGGTAGATGTGCAGCTAATTCTTCTGCGATAGCTAGAACCTTTTTTGGTCTTATTCAGAAAATGTACCTATTTGCTGGAAACTCAGTGAATGTGATTCGGTTTTAAACGAAATGCTCAGCTTGTAATTTGTCATTACATCTATGGTATGAGATATTATCGCGTGTTAATATCAGACAGCCTCCGCTGAAAGACGCTTTTCAAAATTAAAACTAATAAAAATTATTTAAAAAGTATAGGTATACCTAGGTATGTCAGCAAATATTTTTAGCCTTTGGAGTTTTATCTATTAAAGCAGATACAGATACTGTCATCAGAGCAACCTCCTTGATGCACATATCAAAGGGAGTGGTGAGACTAAGAATGACTCATGGAGGAAGGATAATTAAGAGTTGCCGTTTCTTTGTATAAATATGGCAACATGTTTGCCTTCAGCGACATATGGGATAGTTTTGTGCAACTAATACTCAGTCGGTAATATAAAAAGCTGTAATGCTACTTTAATTTGAAAATTGGCGGGCTTTTGAATTTACTTCCACAAAATATAAGAATTTTACATTTTTAATAGCATTTTTTTAACACGCATCTCATGCGTGTTAAAAAATGCTAATAAAAATGTAAAATTTTATGTTAAATAATTTTAGAGATATAAAATAAATAATACAAAATTGTACTATAACTAAATATTATTTGTTGAATCTTTATTGGTTACAACAATAAACATAATATATATTTTCTGAATAAACACTATTTTAAATAACACAAAACGAACATAATTTTTCTTCACTCGTGAGAAATAAAACAAGAGTTCCATCCATAAATCCTGAAACGAAAAGAAAAAAAAAACAATTGTTGAAAGCGAAAAACTTCCTAAAGCACATGATTTTGATTGTATGTGACTAATTACTTTTGCATTTGCAGCGATTTAACTAATTTTTAATTTACTACTTCTAATTTCTATAACGTCTAATTAAGATTTTCTTGCTTTATGTAATGAAAATACTTTAGATTTATAAAGATTAAAAAGTTTGGTTATAATACATACAATTAAATTGGCATATCTAGGATAATTATCAAAATGAATATCAGAATTAAAACTTTGTTAAGGATTTCAATATTTGGGGATAACACAATTACGAATACGAATAATAATCCTTTTTTCAGTTGACAATAAAATGAAAATGTTTAAAACAGTGTAAATGGGCCAGAACAATTTGCTATTACAATCAAATATATGCATTTATAGGACATAGACATGCAAAAGTATCAAAATAAGTTTACTTACAGTAAATTATTACTAAATTTATGCCTAAAACTGTATTAAATAAAAGTAAAACTCACTTAGAATTGTTTACATCGACAGCCATATTGTATTTTGTATCATTCGGGTTTCGTTTATCGAGTCGACTCGAGCATTAACGAGATTTGGGTTTTGTTATCCAAAGCCAGGTTTACATTGTACAAATAATTGAATAAATTCATATTTTTTCAATTTTACGATTGATAAATAAAAAAAAAGTGAAACTATTACTTTTGGCAAGTTAATAACACATTTTTATTGAGATATTTTGTAATTATTCTGTTTTCTTTATATTTTATATATAATTGTGTTATTGTAAAACGGACGTACGCCAGTTTCGATGCGCAGTAACTTGTTGACAAAATGCGCATATGCTATAAACCCCCGTGGAATGACTTTTCTGGGTTCTGTTATGTTGAGATATGCTATTATGGAAACGTATACCTAATGATTCTACAAAAAATACAGTACGAAAAAATTAATACAAGAAACATATTTCTGTGTGAATATGCCATCTATGAACATGTTCCCGAACAAAGAGTAGTTAATGATAGATTTCTTTGTGAATATTTTTGTTTGCTATCTTTGAACGGGTTGCCAAACAATACGTGGTTGATAGTAGATTTCTGTGTAAATACGTTGCTTGTTTTGACGATTCGTCGATAGATAGTGCCTTACGTATAAAGAGGATGTGCCTCCGCCATTTTATGTCCACATTTTGAATCAGTCAATGTCCCTGCTCATTGCTCAATTTTCCTAATCTATGCTCTACGCGCTACTGTTCACAGAACAATTACTTTCTACTGTTGCATAGATAAATAAATAAATAAAAATAACGGGTTGATAGTCTACTGGTAAATTTGTTAAGTTTATTTACAAAGTAGAACATTTTTATTTCTGAAATAATTCTTCGGTTTTACGGTTACGTTGACGTGACAGTAACTAACAACTAAAATTTCTATTTGTAGCTTGGCTAAACTGGAAATCTGTCAATACAGAAATTGAAATTCCCTAGATTCTTATGTTGAAAATCGATTGTCTATATTAACCTAAAAAGCATTTTGTTTCCATGAAAAAAGACGTGAGAATGTAATCAAATAATTAAAATATATGTCCAAAAATATAAATCAATGTAGATGACATGTGGAATTAGCGTTCCTGTTTACCAAAAACTAAATAGAATCCGTGGATAGCACTAAAATCTCCAATATGGCTACTAATAACATAGGAATTGACTGGTTGCGTACCATGGTCAGTCATGGAGTTGGGGTGGACTTTGATAATTCTTCAGATCATCCAGGAACATCAAATATGAATCAATATGAACAAATGGATAGAACAAATGCTACACTAAAGGTTGGATTTTAATTTTACAAATTTTTACTTAGTGCAGCTTCATTCATTACATCTTCCACAACAGATCTGTTTGATGACAATTTACTATAAATTCGTCTTGTTTATCAAACATTTTGATGTCTAATTTGTCCTCTTAAAGTAGAATAAATCACAGCTTCCCCTTATATTTAATGACAAAATTATTCATTACTTAATACAATTAATCAATTGTTTGAGTTTATAAAATTAAGAACCAAATTAAGCTATTATATTTAATTTTGTTGAATGAAATCCTAATTTTATGAACACAGCTAAATATATTTGTTCAAACCTAATAGGTATATTACAGAGGATATCAACCAATATAGCCTTTTTTTATTGATAGATAGGTACCTAAGGATACTTTATTCATCTAGGTATTTAGTCTTTTTGTCCCAGATTTATATTTATTATTTTAATAATTATAAGGAATGAATGAATGATTTTGAAGAGTTTGTCTTACTAATTAAAATTAATATATACCAAAAACATTGAAGATGGTTAGTTGGTTGCTAGAAGTACTATTATACTCATCTAATTTTATTTACTGTTATTATACATTTCATCCAGCAAGTCTCTGAGTTGACTGTGTAAATTGTATGATTCAAACTGTAATGTAATCCTCTGCCATGCATTAATTTTCTGCCCTAAGAACAATAGAACTTTCTCTAAAACATTGGCCCTTATAGACATTTCTTCTTCATTAATCCTTTTTGTAGAATACACATAAATTATTACAAAACTGTTAATTGTTATAATTATAATAAATAAAATGACTTAGTTATAGATTTGTCAAATTAATAAATGTTTGAATAATTGTAAAGAATACAAATTTCTCCCTTATCCATATTCCTGGGGTTCGTATTATTTAACAGTGTATAATAGAAGAGTTTTTCTTTTACAAAAAAGAGCAATAAGAATGATGTGTCAAATTTCTGTTCATGTGATAGTATAGCTCATGTTTACCACTAAACCAATTTTTAGAAAAATATCTTAAGAAGGTTGTGTGATTGTTTTAATAAAAGCTAAAATAATGCTTTATTTTCCTGCTCACTTACTATTTAAACAAAATACAGCTGTTCATACAATTTCTTAAAAAATAAATATGAACAGAATGCTGATGAAATAATTATGCTATATGTATTACATGATATGCATTATTCATTTGTACTTGTATGGTATAACAATATTGTTAGTCATAAACAATTAATATTTATACATATTTAAAAGAATGAAATGTAAAAGGAAATCCCAAAGTTAAAAAGAACAATTTTTGTCAAAGGTCAGAGCTTTATAAAAATAAAAATTTGTTTTAAAAGTTAAAATAAATTGGTAGAAATTATTAGAGAATAATTTTTCAAGGTTGAGTTGTACACATTTAATACATTATGGAATTCAATAAATTATTTTATAAGTAAATAATATGACACACAAATAACTGGTATTTTTCAATCACACTTACATAATTGTTAAATATTTTTATACATGCACATTTTTAACACAAAAATATTTTTCCCTTATGCTATAAAATGGACTAATTCTTAATTTCTGTTATTTTTAGAGAAATCCTAAAATGGAACTATCAAAAAATGATCTCATAAAACTTGTTACTTATTTTGAAGGAGAAATTCAAGCTAGAGATATAGTTATTGCAGCTCTTAAGGTATATAACATAAAATATGTTATTTTTATTTATTTGATATTTCAGAAGTCGATCAGTAAGTAAGTACATCTAAAATGCAATCTTCTTTGTTCTCTTTCTCACAAACAATTAGGTTGTACCTGGTGTGGCCCTCCAAACTATTCCTTCTAATGCTTCCTTAAACACAACCCCTTCAAAATTCAAATATTAGTCAACATGCAATGAAAATTTTTTGGTATTGTGCAATTAAGTTCATAAAACTAAATAATACTTACTGTGTAATGGCCTACTGAATATCAAGTAAAAAATAGAAGTAAAAATATTTACATATTATTTAAAATATACTATTTTTAGTCCGAAAGGCTAAAGCAAGTAGTCAATGTAGGAAGATATCGACCTGTGGTATTATCAGATCCATACACAGCTCTACTTAGGGATAGTATCGCCGACGGACCAAATGTAAAATCACCAGTTAGTGAAAAAGAAATGGCGCAGGCAGCTGAGCAGCAACTTCAGGCTTTTGGGCAGCTTATTTTACAACAACGCTGGGCACACCAACATATGATGAACATACTCAAAGAAGCTGAGAACAAACATAAGAAAGTAAGTATATAATAATTGATATGGAAAATCATGACGTAATCAGAATTTGTCAAAATTGAACTATGCTGGGGTGGTAAAGTTGCCAAAAATCTGAATTTAATTTAAAATCAGGATGTTGGATATTTTTGATTAATGTTGGGTTGGAATTGTCAGAAGGGAGTTTGTTAGTTACTAAGGAATTTGAAACTCAGAGTCAAGAATTTTTTGACAGTTTACTTGTCCCAGGCCCAGGTCTTGTTTTATATTTATTTTGTTTATTATCTATTTTCTATCTTCATTATCATATTGTCTATTTTTCTTAATTTCTTCCTTATCTGTTGTCTACATCTCTTTATTTTGATTTCCAGTCCTTGAATATCTTCCATTAACATGTGTAAGATATTATTCTGTCCTAATTTTCCTTTCTCTTGGTCTTCCTCCGTTACTATCTTCTGAAGTTTGCTCGCCGTGTCCCCTTGTCCTGTCTCTTCCACTTCTTCAGATTGTTCCTCCATCAAACCAGTCTTCTTTTCCCCTCTTAAATCCATTTAATTTTATAACAATTTTATCACTTTCACAGTTTCAATTTCAAACTTTCAGCCAGCACCTTTATTTACACTTTTTTACCATGCATACAAAATAAAATTAACAATTTAAATGAAAAAATTATAAAAAATCTTACTCAAATTTTAAATTACACTACAAAATCCTTTCTGACGATTTTATTTCATACAGTAATTGTAACCAAACATCAATAATAATAAAAAATTCCTTATTTTATATTAAATTTAGATTTTTGGCATCTTCATCACCTTAGCGTAGTTCGATTTTGACAAAATTTGATACCGTCAAGATTTTCCTTATCATTATATTTATTATCTTTATTATGACAGTTTTGTGTTTCTTTTCTGAAACTGTTTTAGTTGTATAATTCACTTAAAAATTGTTTGTTAGGTTATACAAGAATTAGAAGAAGAAAAATGTAAACACGAGCATGACACAGCTCAGGGAGACGACATCACATATGGACTTGAAATGGAAAGGACACGCTTAAAGCAAGAATTAGAGTTAGAAAGAAATACGAGAAAAAAACTTGAAAAAGAAATAAAAAGGCAGTTAGAAGCAGCGGACGAAGAAAGAGCAAGACAAAAACAGATTGTATTACTTCTGTTGTCTGAAAGAAAGAAATTAATTGTAAAATACATTGAGGAGAGAAAACGAAGTGAAGATTTAGCACAGGTTTTTTTGTTCTAACTTCTGTTTCTTCACATATTTAAGTTCGTTTTTTTAGATATTATCAGAAGAAAAATCTCGCATAGATACAATGGCAGAAGGTCTAGAAGAAGAGAGTAAAAAATCACTTCAAATGGAAGCGGAATTGGAAAAGCAGCTTCATGTCTATGAGGATGAAAAACGAACTTTAAGAGCTCAGTTATCAGAAAAGGAAGTTAGGTTAGTTGCTCAAATATATCTTTATAAAGTCGGTTTTTATTGATTTGAATTGTTTAGGTGCCAAGAGTTAGAAACAGAATTACAAAGACTTAAAGTTGAATTTGAAGTTTTGCGAGGTAGGTCTTCTGTACCGAATGATGGTAGCGCAGCGATGATCAGCAGCGTTGCCAAAGTAGTCCAGCCTACAGCAACAGTGTCTAGTGTACCCGTTTCTGGTCCAAGTAAGTAAAACGCAATTAGTTATTTTGTTCCAATCACAGCATTTTGGCTCTATAATTTGCATTACACTGATTGAGAATTAAAATAAACTGATGCTCCAATTCGATTGATGCTATTTCTGAAACTATTTGAACATTGAATTTTACATTTTTTGAAAGATTTATGCAGAGAATAAAAAAAAATTAAAAAGTACAAAATTGAATACTGTTACTGACATTTTTACGAGTTGAAAACGATTATTAAAAATTAAATAAGGATACACAGGGATCCGAGAGAATTTTGGACTTTTGTTAGATCAAAAAATAAACAAACAAAAATACCAGATGAAAAAAAAATATAAATGCTGACTAAGCTTAAAATTTTATGATCTAAAAAAAAGGCCAAGTTAACATTGCACATAAATCTAAGACCCCGTTTTTATGACACAAAAACTTTTAAATAGTTCCAGGATCCCCAAAAATATATTCCATATCTTATGTTATTCTACTAGTGAATAATAAAAATTTTGCTTTTCAAGTTTAGACTCTTAGAAACTGTTCTTATTGCATAGTGCATAGCACCTAGAAGCTAACTTATTACATAATAAGTTGATGTGTTGTTTGAATTTTAAATTCTGATCAATGCAACTTACAAAAAATTTAATGTATTAGATTTTGTATGTTTTGTTGGCCAAGAACAATATCTGATATATTACATTTAAAAGTAATCAAACTAGTTTTAAACACATTGAAACTTAATAGGTTAGAATCACGCCACTGTTTTATTAAAATAATATCAGTACTCATTTTATTAGCTAAATAAATGTCTATATTTTTGTCATACCACATTATGGTCGTATCATCAGCAAAAATAGTAAATAATCTATTAATATTAGGAAAGGCATTAACATACAATAAAAAGGTAGTGGCCAAAGAACAGAGCCTGTCAACAAGACGACAATCTTATTTATCATTCTTAACCACTATATTTTGACATCTGTTTGACAAATAAGATGTCAACCATTCCAAAGCCCTTTCCTGAAACCATATTTTTCCAACTTATTTAAAAATATTTTGTTTTGCACAGTCAAACGCCTTAGATAAATCACAGAATACCGCTGCAGCAACTGATTTTTCATTTAGCTCCAAATATTTTACTTTTCACCAGGTTTTTCAATAATTTTTGCCAATGTAGGCAGCATAAATATAGTATAGTTACCAGAAAAAGTTTTATCTCCACCTTAAAATATATGTATCACCTTAGCATATCACTAAATTGTCCTGATAAAAATGAAATCTTTATAGCATATGTTAGCACTCTTAAAACATTTTCTAACAGAAGCTAAAATACCATCTATAAATTGACACATTTTAACAACTTATAACTCGAGAATTAAAAAAGATATCGAGATGCAGTTTTCACTAGACCTACATTTACTTCAAGTTTTTCTTGACATTGTTGCCACATGTAATTTTTTTCTGGAAAGTGCGAAAAAAAAACGAACTTTGTTGAACCAAAATTGTGAGCTTATTTTAAATAGAACACCCTATAATTTTTAACATCCTCGGAAAGACCATTTCTTCCCCTTTCCAAAAATGTATACATTGTAAGCATTTACTTTATTTTTTAGGGAAACATTCACTTTTTTATGCAACCATGTCAATAACTTCCAAACGTAAAGTATCACAATTAATTAACTTATAATTTGGGAGTAAGGCAATGTATTGATAAAAGGTTTTCACCAAAATTTTTGGAAATGTTTAATTTTTTTTCTGACATAATTGCCAAATCTTAAACTTGTAACGTTTTCGTTAAAAAAAATTAAATTCAGATTAAGGTCTTATGGCGAATGAAACATTTCGTATCTCTCATAGTCATTAGATAGTTTATTTCTTCGCCTTTTAAAAAAAGTCAATTTTTTATAATTTTTTTATTGCTTTAATAGGTTTTAATTTTAGGTAATTAAATCAATGTTAACGGTGTCTATTACATTTTGGTGGCACATATCGAAATATAAATTGACGTTTTACATCGAACGATCATTGATAAGATACTGTTTTTCATTGCCTTGTCCCTTAGGTATAAATTTCAGATTAATATCAAGTAATGATATTTTACTTATAAAGACAGAGGGGAGCACCTCATACCACACGGACTTTTGTGGCGTAAGTAGTGTCCCACCATGTTGGTACCTATCTGAATTTTTATTGAATACAAAAAATATGTACTAAAACATTAATAAATTAATTGTTGAATATGGCCTCCATTTTGTTCAATACATGTATGCAGACGCATTAAAAAATTTGTAAATGCATTTTGCAGCATTTCTGGGGTAATTGTATTAAACACATACAATTATATTATTCCTCAGTTCAGTTAAGTTTGTAGGTGTTGGATCGTAGCATCTTTCCTTAACATACCCCGTATAAAAAAATCTGGTATAGTTAAATCCGGAAAATATGGAGCCCATTCGATGGGACCAGCCCGACCTATCCATTTATTTCCAAAGGTTGAGTTCAAAGAATTTCTGGCTATAAGAGAGTAATGCGGTGGAGCACCATCTTGCTGGAAATATACAGTATTTAGTATTTCTTCTTGTTCTAGTTGAGGATAAAAGAATAGTTCTAGCATATCCGTGTAATTGTTTCCATATACTGTTTCCTCTTGAAAGAAAAATGGTCCATAAATTTTGGTTTTGGACACACCACACCATACATTTACCTTGGGAGCATCTCTTTCAAACTCGTTGAAAGCTCTAGAATGTTCGTCACCCCAAATCCTACAATTGTGTTTGTTTACGCGTCCACTTAAATGAAACGTTGATTCATCTGACATTATTAGATTTACATTTGGTTGATGTCTAAATAAATCTAATAACGTCTCACACATAAAAACTCTCTTTTCAAATGCATGATTTTCAATTTTATGAAAAGTCTAAACCTTATATGCTTTAAACTTGATTACTTTTAAAATTTTATGCACCTTACTCTTTGACATATGTATGGATTGGGCAATTTTTCTGATAGATATTTTATTATTGTTTCTTGCTAAAATTTCCCTTATCTGTATAACATTTAAAATAATATCTTGAGCGTTTTCAATTTGTCTTTTTTTTTCTATCTAATGTTCCCGTTTCTTTAAACTGACTTACCCAGTTTAAAATAGAATTTCTGGTTGGCGAATTTTCTAAATCTTCTTTGTGTATGTGTAATTGATCTACTTTCAATATAAAGTAAAACGTACCGGGCTTTTTCACTTTTGGTAAACATTTTTTAATACCTGCTTTCTCTTGCACTAATTAATACAAATATAGACTTCTGTCAACTCGATTTGTTTTACAAAGCACCCTTGATAAATTAGTAGTATCATTTATTGACTCATTCATATTCTATCCAAAGCTGAGTAAGTTAATTTACAAAAAGAGTAATATTAAATAGACAAAAAAAAAATATGGGTACATATTGAAAACGCTTAAGACATTCTTTTAAATGATGATTTATGGATAAAGGCTTGCAAATAAACGTTACAAATACGAAGAATTTTATTCATCATAAGTCCTTAATCTGAATTGGTAAAAGTAATCTTTTACGAAAATTTTAGACATTTAAGACTTTACAACCATTTTATAAAAAAATTAAACATTTCCCAGAATTTTAGTCAAAACCTCTTATCAATAAATTGTCACATTATCGAGTTAAAGGCTTTTAAATTGTGATACTTTACGTTTAGAAGTTATCGACATGGTTTCATAAAAAAGTAAATTTTTCCCAAAAAAATTGAATAAATGCTTACAATGAATACATTTTTGGAAAGGGAAAGAAATGGTCTTTCCGAGGATGTTAAAAATTATAGGGTGTTCTATTTAAAATAAGCTCACAATTTTGATTCAAAAAAGTTCGTTTTTTTTTCGGCCCTTTCCAAAAAAAAATTACATGTGACAACAATGTCAAGAAAAACTTGAAGTAAATGTAAAAGGTTAGTGAAAACTGCATCTCGATATCTTTTTCCGTTTTCGAGTTATAAGTTGTTAAAATGTGTCAATTTTAGCTGAGATACTATCCCAACCTACAACTTTTTTATTATTAATACTCATTATCATGTCTTTAATTTCATAGAAATTTAGAAAATGACCTAAAAGTATTTGATATATTCGCATGTTTTAAGTAATTCATTAAATCATAAGACGAATCAATTTTATTAGTTAAATTTGATGCTACTGATCAATAGTACTTGTTTTACCAGAAAAGTTCTGTCTAATTCTATTCCAGAGTGTTGCCATGTATTTTGGCAAATATTTCAGAATTATTTCTATAACTTCTCACCATTCACATAAATACCGACATTGTTTTATATATATTTGCCGAATTTAATAGTATTTTATTTGTTTCAGCCACAGGAATTGCACAGTCAGTGCTGCCAGGGCAAGCTCTTCGACAAACAGCAATAGCCCAATCCCCTAGTATACCGATCAAAGCAAGCACTACAACGTCATCACCCACACCCGGAATAACGCAAACCCCCCTAATGCGAACTCCTCCCAAAGTTGGAGGTTATCATGCGCAATTCCAGACCCCCGCGATGGCTCCCCACACGCCACCGAAGAAAAACGCCGCCGCGGCTAGAGGTATGCCGCCTCCAATACCTCCGAATAAACCAGTAATTCCTTCCAAGACTTCCAGCTCCGTGCGGAGGCCCGACACTGGCGGAGAAATAGAGAAGAAAAAAACAAATGTACCTGTTAAGGATGGGGAGCCCTTACGACCAGGGCAGGGGATTGAGATGTTGGGTCAGGAGTTAGCTGATTTTCAACAGATGTTTGTGACAATGGCAACTAGTAATAACACTTAAAATGTAAAACTGTTTCTACATTCTTTAGACGAAAAAATTGTTGAGATTGTGAATGCAGAAAAGTTGTGATTAGCTAAAATTTTTATTTATTTTATTTAGAATATATCTTCATTGGAAACAAATTATATAGGAGAAATTGTATTTTATTTCGTATAACCACCTACCTTTTAAAGATTTCCTCAAGCTGACATACCAATTAAATTTATAATCATAGAAAATTGTGTAGCGCAAAAAAGGAGGAAGAAGAATTGTTAGACAATTAAAAATGATCTAAATGTAAACCAAAAATATTTAGTAATTAAATGTCAACTGTAACGAGTTTTGGCGCCATCTACTAACAGGTAGGCAAACCTAACATGTCAAAAAAGAAGATAACTGTATTATTAAATACAGGGCAAAGCAAAATCCACTTATTGGGTGCTATGATTGAACGTTTACGTTATCCGTAACGTACATGTTAGGCCGAGTTTTAACAGCAAAGAGACAAATTCGTATGATGAAAAGTCTTATGGAATAATTCGATTATTATTAACTGCGTAATTAAGAAAAAAAAGTTAACCCTTATACCTAGGTAGCAACTGAGTTCACCCCTTAATTTCTCGTGCTTTCTTTTATATGTACCCCAATTTTCATCAAGATCGGACAAAAAAAAAATTTTTGCCGAAAAATTTGGAAGGCTCCCTTTCGATTTTTATGAAAAAATAAAAAACAATTTAAATTTGCATACGGATAGAAGGTCACATGTAGATCTCAAAAATATACTCAGTTTTTTTCTAACAGCAATATTAAAAAAGTTGTGGCAAAAATAAACATTTTCGATATCTCCTCGCTTGTCTATTATCCTGATACAAAGTTCCGAATTCGAAAAGATCCAATTTTGTCTACAAAATTTTGGTATCAGGATAGCAGAAACGCGACAAGGTATTTGACTTATTTTTAAATGTGAATAACGACTAAACGGCTCAAGATAGAGGCAAGCCGCAGAGGGCATTTTAAACTATCCGTCCGGCTCTACCTTTATGTGAATTTATGGAATAATTCGATTATTATTAACTGAGTAATTAAGAAAAAAAAGTTAACCCTTATAGCTAGGGAGCAACTGAGTTCACCCCTTAATTGCTCGTGCTTTCCTTTATATGTACCTAAATTTTCATCAAGATCGGACACAAAAAATTTTTTTGTCGAAAAATTTGGAAGGCTATACCCTTTCGATTTTTATGAAAAAATAAAAAACAATTTAAATTTGCATACGGATAGAAGGTCACATGTAGATCTCAAAAATATACTCAGTTTTTTTCTAAAAGCAATATTAAAAAAGTTGTGGCAAAAATAAACATTTTCGATATCTCCTCGCTTGTCTATTATCCTGATACAAAGTTCCGAATTCGAAAAGATTCAATTTTGTCTACAAAATTTTGGTATCAGGATAGCAGAAACGCGACAAGGTATTTGACTTATTTTTAAATGTGAATAACGACTAAACGGATCAAGATAGAGGCAAGCCGCAGAGGGCATTTTAAACTATCCGTCCGGCTCTACCTTTATGTGAATTTATGGAATAATTCGATTATTATTAACTGAGTAATTAAGAAAAAAAAGTTAACCCTTATAGCTAGGGAGCAACTGAGTTCACCCCTTAATTGCTCGTGCTTTCCTTTATATGTACCTAAATTTTCATCAAGATCGGACACAAAAAATTTTTTTGTCGAAAAATTTGGAAGGCTATACCCTTTCGATTTTTATGAAAAAATAAAAAACAATTTAAATTTGCATACGGATAGAAGGTCACATGTAGATCTCAAAAATATACTCAGTTTTTTTCTAAAAGCAATATTAAAAAAGTTGTGGCAAAAATAAACATTTTCGATATCTCCTCGCTTGTCTATTATCCTGATACAAAGTTCCGAATTCGAAAAGATTCAATTTTGTCTACAAAATTTTGGTATCAGGATAGCAGAAACGCGACAAGGTATTTGACTTATTTTTAAATGTGAATAACGACTAAACGGATCAAGATAGAGGCAAGCCGCAGAGGGCATTTTAAACTATCCGTCCGGCTCTACCTTTATGTGAATTTATGGAATAATTCGATTATTATTAACTGAGTAATTAAGAAAAAAAAGTTAACCCTTATAGCTAGGGAGCAACTGAGTTCACCCCTTAATTACCCGTGCTTTCCTTTATATGTACCCCAATTTTCATCAAGATCGGACACAAAAAAATTTTTTGTCGAAAAATTTTGAAGGCTATACCCTTTCGATTTTTTTGATAAAATAAAAAACAATTTAAATTTGCATACGGATAGAAGGTCACATGTAGATCTCAAAAATATACTCAGTTTTTTTCTAACAGCAATATTAAAAAAGTTGTGGCAAAAATAAAAATTTTTGATATCTCCTCGCTCATCTATTATCCTGATACAAAGTTCCGAATTCGAAAAGATTCAATTTTGTCTACAAAATTTTGGTATCAGGATAGCAGAAACGCGACAAGGTATTTGACTTATTTTTAAATGTGAATAACGACTAAACGGATCAAGATAGAGGCAAGCCGCAGAGGGCATTTTAAACTATCCGTCCGGCTCTACCTTTATGTGAATTTATGGAATAATTCGATTATTATTAACTGAGTAATTAAGAAAAAAAAGTTAACCCTTATAGCTAGGGAGCAACTGAGTTCACCCCTTAATTGCTCGTGCTTTCCTTTATATGTACCTAAATTTTCATCAAGATCGGACACAAAAAATTTTTTTGTCGAAAAATTTGGAAGGCTATACCCTTTCGATTTTTATGAAAAAATAAAAAACAATTTAAATTTGCATACGGATAGAAGGTCACATGTAGATCTCAAAAATATACTCAGTTTTTTTCTAAAAGCAATATTAAAAAAGTTGTGGCAAAAATAAACATTTTCGATATCTCCTCGCTTGTCTATTATCCTGATACAAAGTTCCGAATTCGAAAAGATTCAATTTTGTCTACAAAATTTTGGTATCAGGATAGCAGAAACGCGACAAGGTATTTGACTTATTTTTAAATGTGAATAACGACTAAACGGATCAAGATAGAGGCAAGCCGCAGAGGGCATTTTAAACTATCCGTCCGGCTCTACCTTTATGTGAATTTATGGAATAATTCGATTATTATTAACTGAGTAATTAAGAAAAAAAAGTTAACCCTTATAGCTAGGGAGCAACTGAGTTCACCCCTTAATTGCTCGTGCTTTCCTTTATATGTACCTACATTTTCATCAAGATAGGACACAAAAAATTTTTTTGTCGAAAAATTTGGAAGGCTATACCCTTTCGATTTTTATGAAAAAATAAAAAACAATTTAAATTTGCATACGGATAGAAGGTCACATGTAGATCTCAAAAATATACTCAGTTTTTTTCTAAAAGCAATATTAAAAAAGTTGTGGCAAAAATAAACATTTTCGATATCTCCTCGCTTGTCTATTATCCTGATACAAAGTTCCGAATTCGAAAAGATTCAATTTTGTCTACAAAATTTTGGTATCAGGATAGCAGAAACGCGACAAGGTATTTGACTTATTTTTAAATGTGAATAACGACTAAACGGATCAAGATAGAGGCAAGCCGCAGAGGGCATTTTAAACTATCCGTCCGGCTCTACCTTTATGTGGATTTATGGAATAATTCGATTATTATTAACTGAGTAATTAAGAAAAAAAAGTTAACCCTTATAGCTAGGGAGCAACTGAGTTCACCCCTTAATTACCCGTGCTTTCCTTTATATGTACCCCAATTTTCATCAAGATCGGACACAAAAAAATTTTTTGTCGAAAAATTTTGAAGGCTATACCCTTTCGATTTTTTTGATAAAATAAAAAACAATTTAAATTTGCATACGGATAGAAGGTCACATGTAGATCTCAAAAATATACTCAGTTTTTTTCTAACAGCAATATTAAAAAAGTTGTGGCAAAAATAAAAATTTTTGATATCTCCTCGCTCATCTATTATCCTGATACAAAGTTCCGAATTCGAAAAGATCCAATTTTGTCTACAAAATTTTGGTATCAGGATAGCAGAAACGCGACAAGGTATTTGACTTATTTTTAAATGTGAATAACGACTAAAGGGCTCAAGATAGAGGCAAGCTGCAGAGGGCATTTTAAACTATCCGTCTGGCTCTACCTTTATGTGAATTTATGGAATAATTCGATTATTATTAACTGAGTAATTAAGAAAAAAAAGTTAACCCTTATAGCTAAGGAGCAACTGAGTTCACCCCTTAATTGCTCGTGCTTTCCTTTATATGTACCCCAATTTTCATCAAGATCGGACACAAAAAATTTTTTTGTCGAAAAATTTGGAAGGCTATACCCTTTCGATTTTTATGAAAAAATAAAAAACAATTTAAATTTGCATACGGATAGAAGGTCACATGTAGATCTCAAAAATATACTCAGTTTTTTTCTGAAAGCAATATTAAAAAAGTTGTGGCAAAAATAAACATTTTCGATATCTCCTCGCTTGTCTATTATCCTGATACAAAGTTCCGAATTCGAAAAGATTCAATTTTGTCTACAAAATTTTGGTATCAGGATAGCAGAAACGCGACAAGGTATTTGACTTATTTTTAAATGTTAATAACGACTAAACGGCTCAAGATAGAGGCAAGCCGCAGAGGGCATTTTAAACTATCCGTCCGGCTCTACCTTTATGTGAATTTATGTAATAATTCGATTATAATTAACTGAGTAATTAAGAAAAAAAAGTTAACCCTTATAGCTAGGGAGCAACTGAGTTCACCCCTTAATTACTCGTGCTTTCCTTTATATGTACCCCAATTTTCATCAAGATCGGACACAAAAAATTTTTTTGTCGAAAAATTTGGAAGGCTATACCCTTTCGATTTTTATGAAAAAATAAAAAACAATTTAAATTTGCATACGGATAGAAGGTCACATGTAGATCTCAAAAATATACTCAGTTTTTTTCTAACAGCAATATTAAAAAAGTTGTGGCAAAAATAAAAATTTTTGATATCTCCTCGCTCATCTATTATCCTGATAGAAAGTTCCGAATTCGAAAAGATCCAATTTTGTCTACAAAATTTTGGTATCAGAATAGCAGAAACGCGACAAGGTATTTGACTTATTTTTAAATG